GCATAATTTGAGTGTCATTGAGAAACTGGTCTAGTAATCAAAGGTTTGCAAATGTAAGGCCCACAAATGGACAGCCCTTGGGATTGTGCCATTGGATTTTCCCAGGGATTTATTAAGTGCACGATACAATAAGTGACTTTCAAAAAGTGACTAAGTGACCTTAATAGATACATTCATATGGCGTCTTTGTTTCTGATTTGTTATTATATCTGATATATTTTTTCTGCCTCTTTCTCATTCAATTATAAATAGACAGACATACAGACAGACAGACAGACAGACAGACAGACAGATAGATAGATAGATAGATAGATAGATAGATAGATAGATAGATAGATAGATAGATAGATAGATAGATAGATAGATAGATAGATAGATAGATAGATAGATAGATAGATAGATAGATAGATAGATAGATACTGACCTTTTCCTTATCTGCCCTCCTGTCTCTCCAAGCCTCCCTAGAAATACAGCATTTCATTTAGGATCGTAAACACACTATTTGTGGGAAGGTAGTCTTGGGCGATCCGGGGGGTGGGTGGGTGCCCTCTGAAAGCTTTTGACCGGGACTCAGGAGTTCAAGGCTGTTGGGAATGATCCAGAGGGTCTCTCTATCAGTCTTCTCTGGAAGTCTGGAACAGAAGATGTTTGCCCTCTCTTTTACACATGTTCTGTCATTCACTCTCTGGATGTTTTTCTCTCACCCTCACGGCTGTCTGATTGGCTAATCCTCTTTGACATTCGCCTATGTTGTCATTTCATCAGTAATAGATAATTAAATTACACCGAAGAGGCTCTAATTTGTTCTGGTTGGTGCGACAAAACACTGGACATCTCTTATATCATTTTAGTGTCAAGCGTTCACCCCATTCAAACTTTCAAAGTTAGACAGCTTATGCAGGTTTTTAAATAGCATATAGTATGTAGAAATTAACACTGTAAAACCCAACAGTCAACTTTATTAAATGAAATGAGTGTAAGTTACTCAAAGAGTTAAGTTACTCAAAGTTAATTATACTCAATTAAAAGAATTTTGAACTCAGCACTGAAGATAATGAGTTAATTAAATACCTCATTACTATTAAGGTGCGTTTGGGCAGGTGTGAATGCAGCAATCGTACTCGACTGCGAACCAAAAGCGTACCGAGACCTGCTTGAAGAGGTGGTCTCTGTACGGTTTCAAATGAACCCTGGAGTGGTGAGAATATGATGCGAACTAAAACAGGCCCATCCGCAAAAAGTACTGCGCCTTTTGGACTAATCCAGCTGCTGTAGGCCGATGCGCTGTGCATTATGGGATATGGAGGACAAATATTTGTTGACAGCGCTTTACCAAGAGAGAGAGAGAGAGAGAGAGAGAGAGAGGGAAGTGAAAACACTAATTAATGGATCGTTGGTAATATTTCAGCAAGATGACCATGTCGCAGTTTAGCTAAATTAATTCAAGCCCCCTCATGAAGTGACTTGCGATGCATTAAAACATTGTTTTTCAGCCTTGGCCGTGCTTCATTCTCGAAGTGTATAGTTTGTCTAAAGCAGGGATACTATCAGTCAGTGCAGTCGTCCCTCCATTGTAAAAAACGACATTTTGTGTCTGCTGGTTTGTTTACTTGCGGGAATTCATTGGCATTTTCCCGCATATGAATTCTGACCAATCGATAAGCAGTTTAGGAACTATATTCAACAACATCTGGCCAATGAGTGATATGCATTTTGGTTCTTTTCAGCTGGTTCGGACCAAGCCAGCAGTGTGGTTTGAAAACAACGCAAAGACGGCAGAAAATGCAAAAATGTATTATTTATTGCCCTTGGTCCGGAACAAATGAAGTGAACTACAGATGCGAAAGCACCCTTAAAATGTAGCAAGTTCACAGTACTCATATAGATTAGTTTTTGTAACTTAAATGGTTTATAGCAATCAGTTTCCTCATACAGTTTGAGTTGCCTTAACTTATTAGGTTTTACAGTAGTCAGTTGGTTTGAGTTTTCTTCATTTATTGGGTTTCACTGTGCTCAGAATGCCTTGTTTACTCAAATAAATTAGGTTAACGCACTATTCCCGTTAAGCATGTCAATCGCTCAAAACACTCATCTCAGGCCGCTTCATTCACGCAAATCGCGTCATTCCGCAGGATGTCTATTCTCGTCTTTGCATTAACTTAACATGTAAATCACTTGAGCTTGACACTTCTTCCACATCTAGTATGAACGCAGCATTAGGATTAGATTTAGAACTTGGTTTGTTGAAATTTATTTCCTCAAAGTTTGAGTTACTTTACTTTTTGGGTTTTATAGTGTATAAAATAATACTTTATAGCAATTGCTATAGCATAGACTGTTGATTCTGACTGACTGATGAATATTCTAAGAAGCCGATCACACCAAACACACTTTTAAGTTTTGCAAACGCGAGGAACATTGTTGACTTTAAAGGGCCCATGTCCACCAAAATGCTATGTAGACATGCAAGTGTTGTTTTAGGCCGTACTCACACTAGGTACAGTTGCCTCGAACCGGGCCAAAGCACGCTTGTCCCCCCTCCTGTCTACCCCGACGGCCCGCACTCACACCACAAATGGGCCTCGGTACGCTTACGTCATCGCTGCTGCGCTGTTCAGTGAGAAGCGCTCTCTCACTCAGCAGCACAGTAGAGATTTCTCTAGTTATATCGTTTCAGTCGTTTATTATGCAGTGACATGCAGTCAAATATTTCGCCAAACAGTCCTTAGGGATGCGGTGACACGCAGTCAGATATTTCGCCGAACAGATCCGCCACTTTTGACGCTCAAAAACAATCATAATGCTCTCGTGCTGCAGGAATGAGGAGGTCTGCTGAAGCCGCGCAGCAGTTGTGCAGTGAGGAGTTTGCGTTCACTAGACAGTAAGATTGATTAATAAATCCATATGAAACAGCCCCTTAAAAGTCACGTCTCGCTTTCAGTTTCGGGCTTTGGCGCGTTTTGCACTCACACACAAGTGTACCGCCCCAAAGCCCAAGTGAACCGCGCCCAGGCCCATCTCTTCCAACCGGGCCAGGGTCAGCCAAGTGAACCGTGCTTAAACCCGATTCAGCGCACTCACACTTCTCAAACGATCCGGGAAAGGGGCCTGGGCACAGTACGGATGGCATAGTGTGATGCCCTTAAAAATGCTCAATTGCTTCTCCAATTGTCAAAACTTAAAAGAAAAAAAACATTGAGTGTTCATCACTGAGCATAAAGCACATGCTTAGCAGCTGGCTAAGTTGCCTGTGTTTTACAAATCTTCTATTGACAACAACAGAAGGAAAATGCTTAGCTCCCATTTCTGCAGGGCAAAAACATTTTGATGGACACGCACCTTAAGAACATTTTAGTGCACTGCACAATTTATGTTGCTAGGTAACTACTGTATGAGCAATCTTTGTGCTGGAGAGCCAATAGAAAACAATAAAACAAATATTATTAGATGTTTTTTTCAGATAACCACAGAGTTGAATTACTTCCAAAGTAGTTTGTATGCTGAATAATTTCAGCTATTTCACAGCCTAAGATGGGTAACAATAAAATTGGTGCAAAAAACAAAACAGGTTTTAGATGAGATGTAATTAATACTACACACAGAAGTAGTTTGAGGGCAAAAACCTGTCCAATATCTTACAATCATGAGTACACCTTGTGGTACGCCTCAGGTGGGCATTATTTTTTTAATTAATTCAAAATGCCTGTGTACAAATATTCCTTACGGAATTGATTTGCTGCCCTTGCTTTGCTCAACTAGTGGTTTGACTTTAAAATGGGCCTTTCAGTGCTTTACTTAAAACTTATTTTCAAGATTCTGTCATAAGGTTTAGTGGCACTAGTGATCACATAATATACGATAACAGGAATGATTAGTGCTATTTAGATGAGCATGGTTCTTAATTAATATTTGTCTTGTCTTATCGCAGATCTCAACATTTGTTTGCACATTTGCAATGTCTAAACATGTTGTTTGCAGGTGACATGCTTGTATATGAGTCCCCTGGTGTTATATGCAGTTTGGGAGCAGGGTTTTCGTGTTGGGTCCAGGTGGCCTGGCTGTCAGTGAGCGGGGAGCCAGTGGGAGGGTAGGGGTGTCAAGAAAGATTCACAGTTGAAACTTTGCACAGCTGTTCACAAGGTCAGCCCTTTATAAACTGTGATGAAATCCTCTTTATCTCCCTATACCTCTGTTTAAAACCTCCCACATCTTCTTTGGTTCCTGTTCCATTTTCCCATATTGTCATATTAATGTCGTTACACAAACAGACGTATCATTGTACTCGTTTAACAAATCGCTTCTTGTGTAAAAACATTTGTCCACTTAGAGTAGTTTGATCAACGCCCTGACACATGGTGGCCCTATTTTTTTTGCCAAGTCACCACCCGTATCACCTGACTCATCTGTCACTAGCCTTGTCTTTCAATGGTCTATTAATAAACTAATGGTCTCATACGAGGCTTTACACCATACTGTGATATTGCTGGTGGATGCATTGCAGCAATCCCTATGCTTTTCTGTCAATAAAGAGTATTCACTCCCAGCAGCTCTATTTAAGTTATATGTGTGTGTGTGTGTGTGTA